TACAGATTGCCCAGGCCCGGCAGACATCACAATAATGATAAGGGAATCGCATAACAAATGAAAAACCTAGGAGAAACTAATCCAAGATGCGTGGAGGAGTGGTCTAGGCGTACGTTAGGCAAAAGAGTAGTCACGCCGGTAACATCCGTAGTGTGGAGGTGACGATTACGCTTCGTGAGAACAGTGACATGCGTTAATCGCTCGAGGATATCAACGAAAGTGTGTTGTGTATGAATCCCAAAATGAATGATCACCTGTGACTATTTTTGGCGTCTGTCAAGGAAATGGTAGCGTTCACATGCGACATGTCTCAGCTGAATAGGACAACCTCTCTGATCGCCACAATTTGGTGGCATTTGGCGAGAATCAAAGGTAACCACCTCAAAGCATTCTCGCCATAAATGTGCACGACACAGGACTCTGACCACGTTCCGTGTATTCAGGCGAGCTGGTTCGGAATGGGAACCATAAATATCGTAATCACTGCCTCCCAGAGTAATTGGCAAGTTCGGCTGGAATCGATGCAGTGTCTATTGATTTTTAGCATCTTGATCACTAAGCCGCTGAGATCTGTGAGCGACGCTTGGCGCAGCGGTTTAATTGCGGGTTCTTTGTAGTAGCTCCTAAGTCAGGTAACTTGCAACATGTTCGGAAAAGCAACAGACGACCGTTCCATTCTAATCGGGAATCATCAGAACCAGGAGAAGGAGAGTACGACTAGCGCTTTCAGGTTTCAGCTGGGAAAGTGGAAAGTATGCAAGACACTAGTCGACTATAAAATAACCGAAATTCCGCCTCACGGGATAGCGATCACAACGCCAGTAAGTGTTGCAGTACAGCGTAGTGTAATATGCGCTCCTCAACATCGGTTTCGATACGAACAATTCCTAATGGTTGACTCGCATCATGGTAGTAGCATCGGCAGGATCATGCAGAGTGAAGACTTCACTGCCAAGAATACATCAGAGGCATGTGCCGGGGTATCGATACATGAAACATTTATGTCTAGTTGTCATCGTCGAAAATAAACTGAGCAGAAAGTGAGCGTTAAAACTGTGAATTAGTACCGAATTATAGGTTACCCACTCCCTTAGGGTTAACCAAGGTGCAAACACAAGACATTTGCGGGAGAGATTTCTCCCGGCAGTGTTGTCTTCTTTCTGGGGACAAAACCTTTCTCCTATCGTTTCTCTGAGGTATACGAACAAGTGTCGGTCAATACTCACATACAATAACTATATGGTGCCGTATAGGGAGCCCATTTTCATGGCTGCACACCATGTGAGGCTCAATGTCTATGTCGCATGATTCATTCATCAACTACTACTCTGGTGGCTCATTGTGGAAAGTTGTGCCCAAGAAATTTTGCATCAAGCTACAAAGAAAAAGTGACCACATCAATGTCAGCAAGTCAAGTCATTTGACAATGTAGATCCACTTTGAGGACGATTGTTCTGTGGCCCTATGTACAAAATCATCCGTGATTCCCTCGCCTACCCTCTTATGATGACCGATAAATGGAGCGATTTTGCAGACCAATTAGTGGCGGAGCCTTCAAATCGGTCGTTGCATTTTCACCGGAACATCGCTCCTACCTTACCGGCCTAGAGTTTAACATTTTCCATGAAATTTTTTGACATTTCCTCGGTAGATCAGTTACAGTTGGCCTTCGTCGATTTTTGAAAGTGGATTTTGAGATACTGCGCAAATTTTTGCAATTTAAGAAACGCTCGTCCGGATCCAGAAACTGGTCTTCGGCACTGTACAGTTAACAGGATGCAGATATGGGACCGTTTAGTTGAGTCACATTTGCGCTCCTAATGCCATTTTACTAGTTGCACAATTGTGCATTTTTAATGACGTCGTTTTAAAATATCCGCAGTGAATGTTGTAAAATGATGAGAAGGTATCCTCTAGGGTATATAAAGCCTATATTGACTTGAATCGGCTGGGGACCTACTCCATTCAAATCTCCATTGGAATTGAGACACCACTTTGCATACTAAATTCAGTCTATGTATCCGTTGATACAAAACACAGCTGGTTGATCGCAATTCGCTTCTACTCATGAAGCGCGTTTCTTGGATATCAATCCTAGTTCGCTAACTCCGATTTACCATGTGAATTTTCTTTTGATCATCCAAAGAACTTGTTAAATCGAGACACTAACACATCACCATTCATGTATATTTAGAATTATATTATCAGAGTAGCAGCTGCGATATTTTAAGTACAACCGATCCACTTGTAACTCATGCATGGAAAAGTTTGTAGTTAACTGATCATGCAGTGTCTCGCACCTATCGAGAATAAACCCCATTTATGTATACTTAGGCATTTGCTTACCTACCTAACACGATACGAAAGCTCATTCTCACCACGAGACTACAACGGAGACAATTTGCTACTTATGATTCAAGACATTCTGCAGTTTTCACCCATGGCATAGTGGCATAATCCACTGACGCCGGGGTCATACGTTCGGCTCCTGGTGTGACCGGGGGATGCGCTATTGAGGAGTCCGAATAGGAGAAAACGGTTGACGAGTGCTTTTTCCGTGTTGTGTAGGAGGCTGACTGTAAGGATTTAACAGTTATAAACACAACCGCTCAGGATTGTGTATCGACCACACCATGTAAGGGGAAATCATCCAACAGCCTCCATCTTGAATTTATAGACTAGTCACTCCGCATTTCACACCTGGCACAGTTAGTGCATCAGACCACGCTGCCCCAACGGCGAGCTAGCAAACATCTCAATTTCGGTTGTGTTCAGGGGAAGTTTCCAAACAGACAAATAGCAACAAAGATCAGTAAACATACGAAGGTTTCGGTGCCTAGAAACAGTGTAGCTGCATACAAACGCGGTAGTCATTCAACAAGCAGCTGCTGGGATGTGAACCCTGATTGATCACGTCGATAAGTATAGAAACATGCACTACATTGCAAGGCAGAGAACCGTATGGGTCGTGATCAACAGTGGTTAGCAGTTTTGCGGAATATTAGTGGTTGTAATAAATAGCGCTACGCACACACACACACACACACGCATGAGCCACCAATGTGGACGGGACCCAGCACCGGGGACATAGTTAAGCAAACTGAAGATATCTGTGATGGTGAATCCAAGCCATCTCAGCGGCTCGCGGAAATTCTGAACCATCAAAATTGAACGGCCCATGTCGTAGCATTAGGCCGTCCTACCGAGATGAGCATACACGATTCGACTCCCGTGACATTACCTACATTCACTGGTTAAAAATAACGTGCAGACTCGGAGGAGAAAAGAGGAATACAGTCAGGTGTGATCGTGGTAAAGATGTCAAACACTTCGACGTAGAGAACTGTAATCTTGGTTGTGATCAGAACTTCCAATTTACAAGGTGACGTTGGGGTAACAGGCCAATTAGCCAACAGTTTTCGCTTTAGTCACTAAGTTGCAGGGGTGGAAGCAAGATTATGGCTCCACACGACGCAAAAGAGTATGCGCTGCGCATGTGTTCCGAAACGGTGTGACTGTCATCCAGTGCTTTTCCGAGTGTACGATGTGCCGTCTGACCAAGTTCATTTGTGATGAAAGCAACAAAGATTGTGAATTTTGGAGTGTCCACCATGTGTTTGGTTGGCGATACGCACCATTGAAGAGTCCAAGAAATAAAAAGGTTGTCTGGCAACGTTCCGGGTTTGTTGTTGGCCTATCTGGCATGTAATTTAATTGCCATTAAGCTCCACTCCACGGGTGGTCAAAATTTTAACAGTTACAATATAAGTCGACCGCAGTATAAGTCGACCGTCGTTGCCACTGAAACTGAGTCCCAAATGGACAGTATTCGGCGCTGCCCACTTAAAGTCTTGTACTTCAAGATCGGTTTCGACCTTCTTTAAATGTATCAGGCAGTGATAGCCCGAGTTGACGCCACAGACCTCCGTGAATAACACCTATGTCACTTAATCCTTCTACCGAACCCTGTTAAACAGCTCTCATTTCGACGGAATACCCTAAGAATGACAGTTTCACAACCGAGGTAACTGCATCTCTTCTGTTCAAATTGTCTGAGGATATCGTGTACCATAAAAGCCTGGACAGTTTCCAATTCTGGTTTTCGTTGGTTTTCCGAGCCGAGCACTTGTACTGCAGACGTTTCGTCACCAGTCGAGGTGACATCGTCAGTGCCTCACAGCTTAGCATACAAGCTCGTTGAGCGCGTTGTCGGCTCTTGATCGATGGGTTAGTGACGTTTGAAATTGCCCTCTTCGCTTGTATCACGTGACATTCGGTGATTGGTTGTTCGACTGCGGCCGCTTCCTGACTTATATTGTGATCGCCGACCACTTTTAAGGATAAGTTGCTAGGCAACCAAAAACAGAGAACGCATACAAAAAGTGGCCACTGAGCGAGAAATATGCAAAAGATTACCCGTCTTTGAAAGGCAGTGATGCCGCTTGCATCCGGCCGTAAGGCCGGTTAGGGAAGCTTGAGATTCGCTAGGGGACGCTTGCTAACCGGTCCTCATAACTTACACCAGACCGTTTGGTAAACGTGCATCGAGAACAGTAGCAGGAATAAGCGCTGAGCGCACGTTATGGTCACCTATTGGAATGTGTGCAGACACTTTTGGTAGGGAGAATCAATATTGTGTTCACCAGATGTTACAAGAAAAAAATTAAGAAGCTGCGGATGCATGTCGCTGTCTTAGAAGATTCTATGATTTACCTCTCGACCGCTGGAAATATCGGAACTGAGTCGGTAAGGGGCAAACAGTAGATTTGAGACAAAACCCGTACCCAAGGCTCAAGAGCATGGGATTGCAACCGCCATAAGCTAGTTTACCGCAGAACATCCTCTTTCTTCCTATTAAGTCTAGGTAGCACGGAGGAGCGAAAACTGGCAATGGAAAGCAAGCTACTTTGACTAGAAGAATGCAACATACAGAAAAGATGAAATGACTATCAGAAAAGTTTATTAAAAGCATATGCCACAGGCTAGCGACATTTGAAAGATCAGGAAGGTAGTTTTATACATACTTTGCCACGAACACCCCTGGTTTTCAACCGAGTAAACGCCTCAGGGACTTGGTCAAACGAGAACACCGAATCGATGTAAGTCTTGAGCTCACCAGTAGAAACCCAGTGGAGCATACGTGCTAGACGTCTACCATCCGGCTTGAAGAAGGCCCAGCGAAGCTGGCCGCACCCGGAGCCGGAACCAGGACTCCAGGCGAGAAGCTGGGATCCGACGAGTTGCGCAACAGCCATCCCAGGGCCAAAAAGTGGTCCAAATTTATCCGTTAGGAGTATAATCGGGGAGTTCAAATTGACGAAGCGCGCAGAAAGATCTGGTTTTAAATATTCGAACAGATCAGGCACACTGGGTAGCGCGAACTGAGCAACAGTACCCGGAGTAATGCTGTCGGCACTAAACTGGAGTTTTGACAAGCTCGGAGGGCGTATGCAATTGACAATCAGGTCATACTTCATTCCGTAAGGCGGACGATCCGGAAATGTGACTACCTAAAATGTAGATGCAATGAGAATTATGCTGCATAAGGCTGAACCGAATAGAATCGTCGTTCAAAAAGCGCGTGCACTCGAGAAACGGAAAGTAACATCAGTTTCTGTGTGAAAGGAAAATGACCATGATGAGATCAAAGCGTTCACAGGAACAAATCAAGAAAAACAATTCACATGAAGAAAAGAACAGATGACAAAGACGGATGGCGATCTTAAAAGTTATATCTCTGGTAGCGAACTCGTCTCGACATACTCATCATTCCACATGTTACTCAGAGTTGATATACATAACAACTATTGTGTCGCGATACAACACACTTAGGGAACCGTAAAAATAATGATCAGAAGAGGGGTACGCGGGGTGAGGAGAAACAAGGGAACTCATCACAGATGCGCCACTGTCGGTTCTCCGCCATGTCAACAACTGCATCCGAACAAACGTGAAAGGAAAAAAGGAAAGGCATCAGCAGTAGATCAGTACGCCCTACAGACGCTTCGCTGCGACGCAACTACCACCGGTCGCGGATGGGCTAAGGATACGGCAAGGGTCGCCTGGTCCCATGCACAGGCTCGATTTGGTGACCTTCGGATTACAGGGCAGGCGTGTGATTTTTTTCGGCCATTGACTAGCCAAGTCTGCTCACCGTATGCTATAAATCGGAGTACCTGTAGCTAGGGTTGACTGGTGAGATGTATTTGCTCGGTATTTTCTATCAAGTTAATAGCTACTACGCGCTGAAGATGCCAGCTCGACTGGTGCGGAAAAGTCTGCAACAAAACAACGCATGATCATCGTCATTCAGACTCCCGCCAGGTAGTTGAGGCTAAAACCGAGGCCAACCTCTCAAAGTAAATGTCTTCATTTGTTGGCCAAGTTACCACCTGATCATTTCTCCTCTTCTCCCATCCACTCTCCGGTCGCACAAACAACGCACGGCGGGGGAGTCCATGTGCTGGCTTGCAAAACACTTGGCCTAGTCATCGGAGCCTGGCGCATGAGATTATGGTGCCGAGCTGTCCATTTATTACTTCTGTACAATAAACAAGGCGGTGAACACGCTTATTACTCACGTAGCGTTCGCACTAGATATGAGCAAATTTCGTAGGCACTGGTGGTCAAAAGTAACTAGCCTCTTTGTCTGCCGATCTGATGGGCCTGGTTTCACGGTCTTACAGTAGGGTTGTACAGACGGCATCATGGTAGACTCTTGACATCAGGACAAGTGTGATGTCACGTCGGCACTATAAGTAACTTAGATTAGCAAAAGTGTCTCGAGCATTGCCTATACGGTTTGTCACCTAATATATATGCCACTGTTGCTGATATAGCTACCTAGGTAGTTGAATTTCTAAACGTATTCTAGCTGATTCCCATCAACTGCCAGTGCAAAGGTTTGCCGGCCCCAATCCTTGGAAAAGGCTTTGAATTTTCAGGGTGCAACAAAGTGTAAAACGATTGACAAATCTTGCTAATCAGTCCAGCGCCACTTGGCAAGTTTGTAAGATGTCAAAGATTAAGACAATATCATTGATGCACTACAGGTTGAGAAGTCGGTTCCCTGGAAACAAGTATACAGCTGCGAAGTCGCGTATGGTGAAGGCGGTTTACAGGACTTGGTCAATAGTTAAGTTGACAAGGAAAGGTGACGGCGTACATCATTGTCTCACAACCCTGGAGATATTGAAGAGCAGCGACAGATTGCCATAAGTCATCATTTTATCCGAAACATGCGCATAAAGCGATCTTACAATATTTCTTATTTCCCAGGCCAACCTTTCTTAATCAGACAATCCGAAAGAGCACACAGGGCTGCGTAATCGAAAGGACATTTGATGTCGAGGAACAGCACTAAAGCGAGTAGTCACTGTAAAGAGTGGCGCTCCAACAACTAGAATAGGGTGGAAATCCGGTTAAGAGAATTTCGACTTCTAAGAAAGCCCGCTTGTTTCTCCCGAATTTGAACATCACGGGAGCGACAGGACAGAGAAAACCAACCTAGAGATGATGGAAATCAGTATGGTCCCTTTATGGTTGCCCTATTCTGAACAGGAGCTGCCATTGAAAATTGGGCCGTTACGGAGCAACTCTAGTCGGCTGGAACAGTTTCTTGCTACCACACTTACACAAACAGGGGGTCAGAGGAAGTCCTTATGGCCATGCGGCGCTATTCAATGCCAGTAGTTCGAATGCAAACTCTACTTCCGTGCGCCTTCGTGGTTACGTCAAGACAATCACTGTCAGAAAAGTAACTGGCAATTGGCCGACATAGCAGACTAAGCAGAAACACATGAAGATATTGGCACAGATTGGAATACGGTAAAGGATTATCGGAAAACATAGGGATTAGGAGGTCGTCGGATAGAATGTAGTGTTATTTTTGTCAGGAATGGAATGGGGGCGACATTCCAGGTAACATGATGTAGTGAATCCAATATAATGAGCACTTACAGAGGCACATGGAGACCCGGTTGATCGAGATCTAGCGGTCAACACAGCTTAACCGACGACAACAACAACTACTTCCGGAAAGGAACGCGAAAAAGGTGTGCAGAAAAAACGTGCCAAAACCAAAAACTCGAGGCACTGGTGGTTCGAGTTAGTTGATATGGTGTTGATTCGTTCACCAAGCTAAGCAATCGGGTTGCCAATCCAGATAGCATCTCTAGCGTGTAACAATAAATAGTATATCAAGTAGCAAGTAGGTCAGAAACTACGTCCCACTGCATGTAAATCTGTCATGCTGAAAGTCTTACAGCGACCGGTTATTCCTTTTATTTCTACAAGCACCCAAGCTAGTGATGCATCTCAGTTTGCTTATAAACCCAAACGCTCCACTTTGGATGCAGTGGCCTATCTTGTTCACTCAAAAACAACTGCATTAGATGCTAAATGTATGTACGTCTGCTTTTCCTGGATTATCCGAACGCTTTTAGGAGTATCGACAGATCACTGCTTCTCAACCTATTATTCACAAACGGCGTCCAAGCTGTGGTGCTCAATCTAATTGGAAATTATTTTACAAATCGGTCGTAATCCACAAGAACTAAACGGCAAAAGTCTTCCACCGTTGGTAACACGACTAGGGTCTTTTAAAGGAGGCAATCCTCTCTCCCCTTCTGTTTTCTCTTTACATCAAGAGACTTAATATTCCTGCAAATTTTATTGGATGTAAATACGCTGACGATGTTGTTTTAAGCAGCATCCTTCACACCAATGAGTCATTCTCGACGCTTCAAAATGGATTGGACGAGCATGAACAGTGGTCATCGTCCTGATCCCGTTGTCCTCAACGCGTCAAAGTGCCGAGCCAATCTTTTCTCTTCTCCACATTGACAAACGTCAAACTTTGCCCAGTGCTTCGAGCCCCATTGTTGTTAACGAATGCATTATACCTAGTTCACTCACTGTTAGGTATCTTGGTGTAATTGTATTCCAAAACTTAACTTGGTCTGCACACATCGACGAAACTTTTTGCAAGATAAGGAGACTATCATTTTATGCGATGCGGTTCAAGATGTCTTCAGTACTACGCTATTTAGTCTATAAATTCGTAACCCCCTGTATTCCCCTCCATTGGTTGTGCTGCTCGCCTGTTATTTTCCCTGGACCTTCAAAAAGACTGCGGTTATTGTCCGTTCGATTAAGTCCATCACTAAATGTGGTGAATTGCCTCGAGAGTCACTTGTATACCTCATTGATGCATGTCACACATGTTCTTCATAGATTTTAACTGATCAATATCACCCTCTGCACGATGAGTTATGGAAAACTCGTTCCTTCTCATCTAACTGCTCCGAATTTAAGTTTCAGTATTCTCGCACCGCTTCTCTGCATAACTCTGCTTTGCTTTATTTCTCACGCCTTCTAGTGAACTCCACGAGGAGCAATGATACTACGTGTAAAGGTTTGTTTGAGGGAATGTATGTACACGTTATTTCTTACTATTTACCTGTCCTTTCAAGTAGACTTTTATACTCGAAAAATTTTCCGCAGTTCTAATGTAAAAATGCGCCCAAAATGTGCTCAGTCGGGTACATAAAGCTTATTTTGACTTGAACAACATTTCAACAGGATAATCTGAATGTAACTATTTCGCGTGTAATAGTCAGGATGCAGAAACATTCAGGGGGTAAGGGCATTGTTTAATCGAAAACGATCGAAGTTCCCCTTATGCTGGCCGGTATTACGCTTAGAGAATTATGGCCACCAGCTTCACCAAGGCAAGGTGAGACTGTCGAAGAACCCGGTCTGTCTACACAGTGTGGGTGGGTTTTGGCGGCCTAATTTCTCAAGTCCCAGCAAACTGAAGCAAACGGGTGGCGTTCTATCGGCTAATTATCTGAAATGATTCAAGAGGATTCTCACACACAGGGCAGTCAAGTATGTGTCGGACGATCAAACCGGCGGGCAGCTTGGGAATATTCACGACCACGTCTCGCGGAATATGCTCTAGAATCCTTGTGGACAGTAGGTTAACAAATGCTGAGCCTTGGACAAATTCAGAGAAAGATGTTACCGACCACAGGGTTGACTGTTAAATACATTATGGGTGTGAACAATAGCGCTTCATCCATATTGGATGCCTGTCGGGGTACTCAGGAACAGTTGAACAATTTCCACTACCTGAGGTGAAGCCTGTTGTGAAGTATGATAGCCCTTTGAAATTTTAGTGGTGCAACAGCCACATAAGTGAAGGAATGAAGTTGTATCGGTAGCTCGGTCGATGACCAGTTAGGGTTTCTAATCAGTAATTATCAATTTAGAAAAAAAAGCATCAGAAATATTTTGCTAAGTAGTATCGATGCTACGCTGCCATGCAATCACTACCAGTCGCGCGTACGCAAAGTTGGCCCGGTCCCCTACGCAGGCCCGAACCCGTGATCGCGGGGTTGCAAGCCAGACGCCGCGTCCTTTCGGCCATGGAGGGGCAATGTTTAACCCTTATCTGAATATATTTGAGGTACAGAATTTATTAAGATACGTGATACTAGTGCATGTTGAAGATGCCAGCACGAGTGCCGCCCAAATGTATGCAAACCAACTACTCAGCTCAGTTAGCAGATCAACACATTAAGACCAAAAATGGCTTGAAAAGGCTTGATAGACTAACCTCTTCTACATCCAACTCTTTCATAATTTTCTGTGAGGCATCATCTGCTGGACAGGTTACATGAACGCGAGCACCCCAAAGTTTGGCTAACTGCGCAGCAATCAGTCCCACGCCTCCGGTAGCGCCTGCGATCAAAACGACTGGAGAATTGAATGGAGACTTTGTGCGAGGTGTCAAGCCTCCGGTTTCCAAAGCGGACCACGCAGTGAGACCAGCATAACCGATCGAGGCGGCTTCAACGGAACCCACATTATCTGGTATAACAGCTGCATAACTAGCGGGACACAGGATGTATTCGCTCAAAGAACCGGAGCCGCTTGTGCTTAAAAACGGCCATGTGGCACCGGCGATTCGGTCGTGGAGTTTAAAGGTGTGTGATTCACAGCAACCATTAGATGCGGACGGACCAGTACGTACAAGGGTGCCGGCGAAATCTCGACCGGGAATCCATGGGAAACTGGGGTGATCGAACCCATTCGGAGAATGCGTTCCCAGCAACCCAAGGCGAGACCCAAACAGACCAGTAAGCCAGAACGTCCGGGAACCGTAGCCGTATAAGCCTAGCAAATCCACAGGGTTCAATGATGCGGCCTCCACACGAATCAGTAAGTGATCAGGTCTATTGATCGCAGGGATTCTTTTCGTACTTGTTCGATGCAGTTCACTCGTAAAATCTTGGCTTCCAGGTTGAACGAAACTGAGGCACTGCCAAGCGGACATCAGACCAGAACGGGAAGCAGTCCGAAAACCATCCGCAGTGGCCGCCGCGTATAAACGGGGTGAAAGCCGCATTCGCACTGCGTGAGAAAGAAAATGTGGGACAAGGTGATCAGTGTACGAAAAACCTCTGACAGTGAAAATACTGCTTGCCGTTGGATGACATGTGTGAATCGCCATATAAGTGACCGACAAAAGTGTGGGTTGCTCTTTCGTCGTCGTTTGAGCGTGAGAAAGGGAAAAGTGTAGGGACAGAAATTTAGTGATGACGCGAAGGAAAGAAGGGAGAGTGATTGCAACAGGAAGACAATGTCTAATTACAGTTCGCAAGCTATGGATATAACATCCAAGATAGCGCTCATTCAGCAACATGAAGGGCAAGGGATCAACAATATTCAGTGGAGAATGAAGCTAGCGAATTAGAAAGCCAAATTAGCAGTCCAAGGGTAGTCAAATTAAACGGCTATAGTCGGAACGCTAGAATGCGGCTAGAATGGCTTGCATTACCAAGGTGAAAACGATCAACAATAGTGAGGAAATACGAAAGAACGCATTAAAAGGACGAAGATAATGATGTGAAGGAAAAAGGAGTAAAATTAGGTAGATAAATTTTTTATTCGCAACGGTGAGACACGCCTTTTGGGCATGATCAGAATAATAAATTGTTGTACATAATAGCATCCTGTGCAAGTTCAGGAGCAGAAGTAATCAAGTGCAGTCAGTTGAATTGACCCATATGGCCCAAAGAATGAATGAAGTTAATCCTGGAGGGTATCGGGGCACGTTCCCGCAGGTATAATCAGAATTGCATAGGCAAACTGGTACACACAGTACGAGATGTGAGGATAAAAAGTACAGGGAACATTGGAATTGAGTATGTGTTGGTGAGGAAATGGTCCGATGAGTTTCTCTACACCATGCATGTCAGGTGAGTGAAGCATGAGGAAAAATTTGTGAAAAAGTTTTAGAAATAGTGACATGTCATTGGTCAAATATGTATGTGTAGTTGTATGGGAGCGGGTATATGCACAGAGCTTGTGATAGGTGGTATAGGACAAGCTCTTAATGCGTGGTAGGGGGCAGTGACTTTATTGAGTGACGAATCACATCCGCCACGTCGCAGTGTTGTTAAACCGACATTTGTGGCTTTTTAGTCGAGTTGGTAGGCTGGATGCAAAGCAGTCATTGTCACTGCGAGTGCGTCAAGCTGAATAAAGTCTTTATCCACTGAGATGGACGATCCTGTAGCCCTCATCATAAACGATAGCACGAAAAAGACAGATGACGTAACCCCATGAATTTCCTCATGCCCCCATGTCACGTCGTCAACAGACTACCCCACAGTATCACAAATGCAGCGATAGCGTAGAATGCATGCGGATGGGGACCGTCAAGCGACATACGGAGGATATAACCTAAACAACGTTAGCGACTCAAGTTTAGAAGAGCTCCAGTGAGGCACCAGTGTTCCTTTCCAAACCCCAACTGGCGGATTAAAGTGTTAGTCATACAGTGCTTACACTAGATATAGGAAACAGTACAAAAGTACTGGCGATTAAAGACGATCAGCATCCCAGTGACGTCAGTGCGCAGTGGATATCTACCTGATTCATAGAATAACACCTGTACATTCTAGTCGGAAGTGACAGTTTAGCGGAACAAGCGATGGTTGGGATATTGGAATGTCGCCCTAGCCTTGCTGATACACAAAGTTATCTCTTCAGTGATGGCTCGGCCAGATGTGATAAAATCGCCATGTAAAGTAAAGCGATCCGCAAGATCGAGTAATTATTCGGTGACATATAGCACCTGCAGAGTTTCATCAGCCACATCAGAAATTGACAACGGAAGTGTCACAAATGACGGATAAGCGTTAATGTGTAATGCTTCATGAAGCATTCATGTGAAACTATCCAAAGAAGAGAACAAACATGCCTGCATTGTAAGACTAAACGTTGGCTCAGTATGCGTCACATATTATGCGGAAGAAATAAATAACTAAATGGGTATATTTCCATTTCATGAAGCGATGTGTTTGCACGGCGAGTTTTAACAGCATTTTATCTACGAACCTGTGCCCAATATGTAACAGTAATGCAATAAATTGTGAAATATATAATAAGTAACAGACTATATGAAAACCAGTTGCCAAATGTTATTTAAAGCCGGATTCCAGGAATGCACTCGTGGATTGCTGAGGACCAGAAAGTTTGACTACATTTGACATGGAAAGAAAAGTCTTTAGATGAGACCTAAGTGTGGACAGATTCACGCTGATTCTTAATTGCAACGGCAACTTATTCCACAAGTGGGCATACCTCAACAGGAAGAAACAAAAGCGAATGTCTTGCTTGGGCTACTGTAAGAAGAGTAGACATTCCCCATTACGAGTGGGATAGGTTGATCCAGATTGCAAAAAGACAGTTATGATGGTTGAGAAGATTCGCAAATGTGTGGTACAGTTTCTGTTCAGTCTTGGAAGCCAGATTGAGTCAAGCTACAGGTAAGAATATTATTCCTCGTGAATAAGTGCAGATGAGCGTCCCAAAGCAATCCCAATGTGTAGCTATGTCGGTGTAGTACCTTAGTGTGGATCGCACTATGAGTTTGAATAATTCTAGCTGTGTTCGGAATAGTGAAAATGACCTAGTGCTTTAGCTTTCTAGTTGTTTCGTTTTCGTTATTCAATATAGGATGAATTCGGAGAACTTGAAGCTGTTGGATAATCGATTTCCAGCGGTTACGCGGTTGAGTTCGGGGTACCAATAAGAGTGCTGGACTCCTCTCGTATACTGCATCTGTGGCACAGTATCTGAGATATTTCCGAAGAAAATCTGATTAATCTGCTTTCGCTTCATTCGTTTAGGGATGATAGGTTTTCACGGATATTTTTGTGCATAGCTTCAGATGACCAGATGGAAAGGAGTACAGCGGTTTGATCTCGTCCGCAATAAAATTGGGCACCCGTGTCTAATATAACCACATATATCGTTTATTTAAATGAGGAAAAGTAATGGGCCAAATACACTGACCTGAACGACATCATTAGGGACATTCCTGGGAGTAGAACAATACTTACCAACTTGCACCCTGTGATCGATCGTTCAGATATGAATCGAACCAGCTCAATAAAGGATTGCTGATTCCATAGGATTCAAGCACGGATGACAACGGTTTGTGCGATATACAGTTAAAAGCTTTTGCATATCATGATCATGCCACCATCAATCGTTGCTGTAACATGACTAAATGCTGTAATTGACATGTGAGACAGGAACATAGTGTGGCGAAGCTGTGTTATGAACTGATGCGTAACAGCATTCGTGTCGATTTCTTGTAAGGTCTTAGAGGGAGTGGAAGTATGGTTTATTGGCTGATAGTTGGACATTTGATATCGTGGACCACTTTTGTCTTTCGGCATAATTATGAAATTTGCTAATGAGACGGGAAACATCCAGTGTTTTATGACAGTGGAAAAAGTGTCCACTTTCTCTGCTTGACAAAGAAGACACGTGGCTCGACGTCGTCTGATGGGGAATTGTGAGATTGATCGCCGTAAACTTGACTGCTATTCGGTGCGGCGAACTCCCTTTAGATAAGAATGGCCAAAGATGTGATGGAAATACGGTCTTTCTGACTTAAAGAATAAAAAACGACGTTTGATCTAGCACAAATAAAGTTAAGTTCCGAAACGACCCAATATATGAGCCAATCTGAGAGAGAGGGCTCAGGCAGTCAGGTGTTTCGTTCAGTCTGTTAGTGATTCCTGCATTAGTGGTTCCAGTACTGCAGAACGTAACACAAGCAGGTTGCACGATTTTCTGTTCTGCGCAATTCAGTGTTTCCGAGTTTCAAGTTGTAGAGATAAGGGTTAGGTACTTACCAACAGGCTCTCTCATAAAATTGGAGGCTTAAGAGTAACATCCAATCATTTCCAGGCTCAAACAACCATGCGTCAAGTCTGACACATCAAACTAGGGTAACACTAAAATGTTCGTTCCACCAAATCACCGCAATTAACTACCATGTGCAAGTCCTAGTCCCGGCTACCGCGGTGTTTCACTTGACTAAGAACAATTGAGAACAAGCTTAATTTAAACACCGGGTCAGTCAACGTCAGAACTTTCTGTCAGAGTGAAGAGTAGGAGCAGCTCGTCATGAAACCCGGGAACGATGTATGCTGTCTTTGAATGATGAATACAAGGTGACAGGGCACTAATGTAGTTGTGAGCACCGGATGTCATCTACAAGATCAACGTAATTGGTGCTTCTTGTGATGTGGAGTAAATACTTGGTGGCATTAACTATTTTGAACACTCGAAGGAAATTCGTAAGTAGTAATAGCCCTGGACGGATTCATCGGAACTCCTGTATATGTGCAGTTAGACATCGCGACACAGCATCAGCCGAAGTCCGTATACCCTTCAATCGTCTCGGCATTTGTTACCACCGAATGCAGTCCGGAAGCCGGCGAAGACGAATTCCATGAACAGCCGTCTTCCTTCGAGATGAAGCGAAAGTCAGGGTCGGTTACCAAACGATAAAGAAACCGCCCCCAGATCCATTCTTATCGCGCTGGTGACGGTGGTTGTTTTAAGCAACTGCTTTGGTAACACAATAATTTCCAAGTGCACGCGTTCGTATCGAGTCATACATCACCTTCCGACCGACAAGTGACTAGCGTTGCAACAGCCTGTGCTATAAGAGTAACGATTTATTCAGCAACAAGCATTCAGTGAAAGATAATGGCACGCAAATCTTACAGTAATTTGTTATGTATGGATAGGTCGCATCTACGAAGAGACCCTGCTGACCTCGACCTAGAAATAACGACTGCACAGTGTGTCAAAATAGACGCCGAAATTGATTTCGCTTCTGTTAAATAAACGGCAAGAATTCACGTGTAGCGTAGGCAAAGCTCCCAACTAAGCAGCGAAGACGGAAGACTACCTCAAGTGCGTTCATCTGTGGTCTGCTAGGGTCGAGTACGAGTAGCTGCCTGGTTCGTCTCTTTTGGCCGGCTAGCTACTCTCTTCACATTCAGAACTCAAGTTGATCGCAGTGTCATTTGTAAGATGGGGTACAAATCAGATTAGGATTCCCGGTCGGTTGGATCACTCAATTCAAACGGAACCGTGCTGTTGCGTGCACACGTATATCACTCATTCTACCACAGGTTTCATGCGGGAACCAACAGTACGGTAAATTTATGGGCATTGTCTCTTAACTGCTCACAGACGTTGCGTTAAAGTGGCTCAGGCGACAATCGAGTCGCTGTAAGCTAGACTGGCTTCCGCCCCGTTAGAAGCTGTGCTGATCGGGCATGAACGCGCACACAGATGATTAGCCGTATAAGGTATGCTTAATTTGAAGGCAAGTTCTATTCGGTTGACCGCAGCTGTTCGTGGCACTGCCAGTGCTTCGGAGGCTTGTCAGAGGACCACACTTAAATGCCAACATTTCTACACTGTGGTACTCGAGAGTGTAAGAGTCCATCTTAGTTAGCCACGCAGTAGGTTGCACTAGAGGTGCTGCCACTCCACATCTTCAAATATGTGGCTGAGTCATTTGTAAAAGGCTCTGTTCTGTATACTTATTAAGGAGCAAATATTCCAACACAAGACAGACTGACAAGCCCAGCTAACGGGAAAATCGTCAAAACCAGATGATAGCAACCAATACAGGTGTTGTCGGAGGGTGAATTGGACTGCAGAGAGAACAGTTGTTAAAATGCCGTACAAGTGACCAGGTGCAACTGAGAAAACTATATCGGTGCCAAGCACAACGGCGACAACTAGAAAATACCAACAGTGGGATCGCCTTGAATCATATTTTCGCTAAAGCATCAATGGAATGTCATCTGTACACAAGTTAAAATCCAAAAGGAAGCTGTGAAGAGATCGCTGCTTGGTGGTGAATAAAGCTAACTAGAGTGCACGTAACTTATGAGGCCCATGTAGCCCGAAGCCGTCGATTGCCTTGCTCCTGATGCCTTACCACCGCTCTGCATGGGTTTAAACTATGACTCGATACCGCTGACTTACTTCCCAGTATGATAGGAGTCAGTGAGTGGCTGGACACGCAAGGAGCGAGCAGTTGAAATGCGGGATGAACGCTCCGGATGGTACACGGAGCCTGGTAATCAAGAGGAGATCAAAATAAAATTAGCTAGTAGAGTGTAAAAACTATATGACATAATGTGAAAACCCCACGTAAAAGTGATGATTATAAGAAAGTGTAGATTGGTGTGAAAACCAGAGGCGACACAACGGAAATCCAATCTGTGTATGGTGATGACGGAGAGCAATCGTGAACAAAGTGCCTATACTTGATGTCAACGCATCAATATAGTTTGTGGGAGAAAAGAACAGATGAAAACAATTTGGTCTGATTACTAAACAATAGAGACATAATGACTGACGTAAGGGCACTCACATGCGTTCACGAATATTACTGCGTAGCGAGCACAGGGGATTGGGGATGTTCAGGCCAAGTAGTGGAGGATGCTGGTACAACGAGTAGGTAGCAATCAGTCCTGACCGAGATGCGCGTCAGCCTAAGGATAGAGAAATATTTAGGGGTTGGAAAACAAGCAGACAGAGCTAAATGGATAGATAACGGCACACTTAATGAGCTACATAAAAGATAACAATTGACAATGGGTCAACAATCGATTAGCAGTTTAGGAAACGTAAGGACTATAAGATGGACTGACACACAAGCCCGACTGATTCTGAGGCTGGCCCGAGTGATGAAAGGAATACTTTATGAAGAACTGTAGAAAGAAAGTTGGATGCATCAGAATAAGTGTACTGAATTAATAAGCACTAAGAGTGAAGCGTGTGAACTGATCAATGGGTGGTTTAAAAGGAAGAATGATGAGATAGCCACATATGATGTAATCATTGCCATAAAGATAAACAGTAAGCGTTAATGGCGAAGCCAACGATGGACTAGTATAATCGAAATAACTATAAAATATCAGTGAGAGCTAAACGGCAGTGAGCACTACTTCATACAACACGCTTTCGTGGTGGGGATGAAAGCGGTAACCGAGTGATTGCAAGTCACGATCTCGTCAGGTTGTAAACATGCTACATTTTAAGAGTAGTAAGCTCAATAACGCCGATGAGTTCGAGCGAGTTCGGCGTTTAAGTAGTGTGTTTAAAGATGACGACAATGGCATAATGCAAGCCGGATCAATCTATGTAATCAACTACGATACGAATGCTGAAGTGCGGTAGATCCAATTGCCAGTAATTAAACCGTCATGAAAATAGGAGGGAAAAACAAAAGGGAAGCACGAACCTGAAAAAAAAGAAAAGATCAGAGACTTATCGTTTGTCAACGATGGTCAAGGACTGGAACAGGGTACGAATGCGCCAAATCTGAGTGGCTGTAACAACTGATGTGATAAATCCTACAGACCCAATCTGAGAAACCACAATATACCAAATCTCGTAGTTTAGCCAATTTGAGACTGGTGGCATTTGGGCACGGCGAAGTCAACTGCGACAACATTCAGGGGATCAGATGGCTAATGTGCGGAGAAAATGACCAAGCTGGAGTAGGAGATTACAGGTAACATAAATGGTTCAGTGGGGGTAACATGTCTTGCCAGATGTAAGCAGCGTATCGCAGGCACATTTCGTTAAAGAAACCAACTGCTGATGCCACTGGCATTTGATGACCGTAACACTGGACTTGTGGTGTTTTACACGATGATTCAGAAGTCTAGGAGGGTTGAATAACATTGATTTGGCCAACCAATCTGTGGTCACAGTCATCGCATATTGAAAGGTTGAAGTTCTGATCGATCTGTGGAATTATTAGGGCTCAGCCGAAATATCCAAGGTGAACACCATATGGTAATGAACTGCACCGCCCTCGCACACAGTAGCTCAGTCAGCGTAGCGGTTGTAAAACCTGGCAGCCTTCGTTCGTTTGGATATGGTGAACCATCTACTGAAAATGCTCGTAAGCTGGAATGTCCAGTGCTAGTTACCTCCAACACGAGTAGACTCGTCTTCGTATTAAATCTTCAAGCAGACAGACAGAATTGGGAGCGGAACTAAGTACGCATTGGTTGTCGGATGAACAAAGCATCAGCAGTATGCCGGTACGCGGTACCGACGCTTCGCTGCCGCGTAACCACCATCGGTCGCACGTGGGCTAAGGATACTGCGAGGATCGCCCGGTCTCTACGCAGGCTCGAACCCGCGCCCTCAGATTACAAAGCAGGCTTGTGATCCATAAGGCTACGGGCCGGATGAGCTCAGTAACGGATGGAACAAGGGATGATATCTCATTGATGGGCTTCGGAGTACTCAGTGATTGGGAATACCGAGGTTCACTTCAAAGTAGGAGGCGGCATCCATTGGGGCTTGTCGCGGTTCGAATGCACAGTGGATGCCTAAAAACACAAGAATACTAACAAACACTCAAATCATAATGAGTAGTGGGGACGTTGGTATAAATCAGAGGTAATTAATCACAGTTCACTCTCAGTCATCAGGCTTTGGAAAGTCTGGAAAAGCACCAGACAGCGCTGTTTCGACCTGGGTCTCGTCAGTGATGCGCCTTTCTTGGACCTCTACCGGGTTCCGACCCTATGAATTCCGGATGCCAGCAGCTAGTGCCACTAAGGCATGGATGACGAAAGCGGACCTGCATGATTGACAGTTGACTATGATATAGCCAGGCTCATCATCCAATGTCATGTCAGTCAAGAACTGCAGAGAACAGCAGTTTGCCCCACGAGCTAGGACTTTCCGCATAGCGACTGTGTACGACATAGTACTTAGAAGCTATACGAAGGGATTTTAAAATACTAAGGAGTATCGGGGATTTTTAGTATAAATCGGTGGTAATTCATCCCAGTTCAATCCCATTCAGCAGGCTATAGCACGCCTAGAAAAGCACCAGACAGCGCTGTTTCGACCTACTGGGTCTAATCAGTGGTGTGCTCTTCTCAGACTTCCGCTGGGTTCCGACCATATGAATTCCGGATGCCAGCAGCTTGTGCCACTAAGGTATGGGTGACGGCCGCGGACTTGCATGATTGACAGTTCTTTCAGTTAAGCAAACCACAGGTTGCTGGAATCCTGATGTACAATTGAGTTCACTACTAGGAAGATGGGTTACCAACCAGTAATTTGTAGATATGCATGTACGGCACGGTTAAGCATTTCCAAATCCAGCTCAAATGGCCACCATGCCAAGTGCACACTTCGAACCGTTCAAGAAAGATGGTAAAATAGGACGGACGTCTTCGTTGAGACATGCAGCTCGAAGTGGAAAATGTTTCCGGCCCATTTTTGTTCAGGAACTTCGACGTGATGAGCATCAGTCAGTCGACATTAATGGTTTCCCGGGTTAGGCATAAAGAAGAGGTCATCTACTATTGCTCACCACAAAGGCGCCAAGCATATAGTGAACAGTCTCTGGAAGGTCAAACGAGACTAAATGGAATCAGCACCGTAAGGCATCTCTAAGTCGTGAGCAACGTTATTGTGTAAAACAGGCCGCACTCAGCTTCCGTCAGATGAGCGGAGCAATTTTTATGCTCAACCAAATTCTTGAACACCTTCGCTTCCAGAGGTTTTGCAAAGTTTTCATTACAGCCAGCAGGATTGCATTGCACTCAGTTAACTGCGTGGAGCCGATTGACAAGTTTCCAGCACCAAGCTTCTCCAGCTTAAGCAGAGTGGAGGCTAATGGTGAGCTCCCAACATCTTTCTTTGTCTTTAGAAGTGCGCCAGGAAGGCGACATAAGACACCAGCCCAATTCAAGTATGCAAATGGAAACAGCATGCTACCAGATTCGTGAGATTTTTAGTTTGGCGTAGAGCTCACACCAGGCAGCCGTGTGACCGACTTGTGTCGCGCCGATCATATCACCTGGTTCAGTGACCATCATGAATTATGCACACTTCAAAGCTATCAGCACGTGACATATATACCCATGATTTGTCCTTTGACCAAACAATTCACAAAGTGCAGCTCCGGGAATTGTTGCGATATTTGCTCCTAAGCACAAGCAGATTGAAGAACCGAACGCCTATATCTGCTTGGGACACTGAGTTTCTGCTGGTGATGCCAGTGAAAATAGAGAATCCCTTCATGCCACCAAGATCAGATTAATAGTTACCCAAAACCCTCATGGCTCCGTTCGGAAGGTCCTAGTTAGTTTAAGGGCAAATGTTACAACATCGTTCGTGTGGTGAATTTGAAGACACCTAAATTCTGGCCGATTCATGCAGTTAATGTGTTGACATTGACCACAAAAAATGGAGATTACAAGGGATCACCCATGTGCGACAGAAAGACGATGTTCGGACAGTGAAATTTAACGTCGGTGGAAGTGCTAGTCCAAACCCACTGCGCAAAGTAAGGGGACTCTATCGAACTGAAAGAGGCATCGGTAGTACGCCGGTACGCAATGCTGATGCTTCGCTGCCGTGCAAGCACCACCAACCCCGCGTGGGCTAAGGATACTGCAAGGATCGCCTTGTCCCTTACGCAGGCTCGAAACCGCACCTTGCGAAATGTGCTCCCGCACAGCCGCAGTGAGTGGTCGTGCAATGGCCAGCCTGCTGCTCTGTGATAGATCAAAGCGGTGGTTTGCCACCCACCGATAGCTAGTTCCGTGCATACGCTAGGAGAGGGATGCCGAGGTTTCAAAGATATAGCAAAAATCTGGATGCAATAGCGCGACTGCGAGCATCCGGTCTGGTCCTCCAACAGGTTTGGATTTTCCTTCATCAATAAGTTGTATTTTAAATGGATGAAGCACCTTTCGCAGCAGGCACTGCTTTGCTGCAGTATAGCCAACATCTTTTGGTTAACAGCTCAAATTGGTTCGGTCGGACAGAACTTATACTTTGTATCGCAACGTTACAAAATTAAAAGAAAAAAGGATGAACGACAGCCAAGTACATCGCGATTGCTTCGATGAACACAGGGAAAGGCTGCTCGCAGATTTAATGTGAACCAAACAGCGGCGATTTGAAGATTTAATAAGATAAGGGAATGTAGACAGCATCCGCTTAATAAATAGAAACCACGGACAAAAACGAGGCGAATTACCATGTCAGGAAATAACACAACGGTAGGTGAGTTGCACGCGTGGTGTTGTTCCGATACATGACGGAATGTGATCCTATATTCAACGAGGTTTATATCAGTGGAAGCAACAGGGGCTTGTACTGATTCGATCCTCAAGGGAATAAATGAACCAATGAAGTACGGTGCCTGTAACAAACCCTGAGTATGCGACGACATGTCACTCCTTGATTCGGATCCAGCGGCTATGTAAGCACCACTGAACGCCACAAGCTTCGGCATGTGCTTTGAAACTTCAGATTGGAAAGTACTGTTGTAGCAATAGGCCGATACATCACCGGTTTTCTCTATGACTGAACAGCAACCGGAAGTGTCGGATTGGTTCACTAACCTTGGTAGGTACGTCAACGCTGGTGGTTTCACCACTGAAGAAATTGCTTCATGTGTTAGAAAAGCCTGTGTGTGATATCAATGTCAGTTAAAAGTAAGGCGTACAACGCTATGGTGCAAGCAGAAACATGACCAGTTCAGACTTGAAGTACTAGTAAAAGTGACTTTGATCACTGGTGACTACGCAGTGTAGCTCACCTGTGATGGGAGTACCAGTGAACAATAACGAGGTCTATCAGTTTATGCTTGCAAGCGAACCCTCCGATACTTCGCACATGTTCATTGTATATCAAGTGACCGTCAGCTTCAGTGTGTGTCACTTGCCAGACAAGAGAAATCGCGAGGTGGTTAGTTGACAATGTAGCATTAAAGTGTTAACTGATTGATCGAAAGACTTGGCCAGACTAGCGCGTGACGCTTTCCTAGGTGATTTGTATAAGTGGCTGAAAACCATATCGGCTGTAGCGTTCATGCAGTGGCGTTCATGCATGCATCTATCTGTTACTACCACAGACCGATGAACCTGATTCTTTAGTTTCTCCCCTCTTTTACTTTGTTTACTTTCTGCCTCATTCTTCTCACCAATGTTCACTACTGTTACCTCGACAACGCGAGCCGTGTCAATGGGTCCATTGTAGTTCAGTTACCGAATCATAGCTGTTTGACTGAATTGAATCTCTTTTTTTAGTATACATGAGCCTGGAGAAGGATGGTGACGACCGGACGTACATTCTTGACGACCAAATGCTACATCCTACACCTTCCGTGAAGGATCTAGGTGTAGTTTCACGTTGCGATTTGAAACCCGTAGACAAAACGAACACGCTATACTGAAACGGACTGCGCAAGCTATGGGTGATCAAAGGCAGCTTCTGCACCTGGATTGAAGAGATTGCCACTCATCTCTTCTCCTCCATCAATGCTGGAGCACAACTTGCCGGTTATTGACCGACCGATTAAGGTGGGGCGCAGAAAATCGAACGGGTCCAACATGTAGCTATCAGGCTCATCCTAAGTTTGCGGAGGCAACCGTACGAAGACGGGTGCGAGAGACTGGGACTTTACACCTGGCCTATCGCCAGGTGCAAGTCGACCTCCTTATGACCTACTGTATTTCGCAACTAGGTGATTTCCCCATGCTGAGGTGACTGTTTCACTTGCGAATACCTTGCGGCTCACACGGACAACAGTACAAGCTTATGGTTCTAGATCAGAAGCGAGTACCCCATCTCCTGTGCTTTGAACGGCCAGTTGTCAATGTTTGGAACAGTTTGCCGGGTAATATGACAGAAGTGAACTCGGTGCAACAGTTCAAAACAATGTTGGATGTAAACTTCTCTTGTGTTAGATTCCGAGTAGATTAGTCAACGACATTGCACATGTGTGGGTCCAAATTTAATGTGGGTTTCACGTAATTTTTACACTTTGTACATAACAAACTACTCAGTGCAGCACGAGCTGACCAGGAGCAACCAAACGCCGCTACAATGCCTATTTGCACGTAAGACGAATCATTCAGACGCTTATACTTCTCACACTTACACCAACTATATTGACAACGATGTAGACCTTGACAGATCGCCAACACCGCGCTTATTCACAGTTGCTCGCCATCACCGAGTTGTCTGCGAGCCTGGGTTGCAAACATAAGGTCACCGGTTCGAATCTGCATAGGAGTGGGTACCCTCGCGGTATACTCAGCCCGCGCACGATTGCTAGCGGCCGCGCGGCAGCGTAGCGCAGTTACGGCGTACAGGTAACACACTATTTTACTACCACTACCGAATCCCCACCCATAAAGTATCCTGGTATAATAACGTTGATCCGATCTGGCAATTAGATAACGGTGACAAAGGTACAATGTAACTACTATTACAAATCCCGCAGAAGTTGGTGCCAAAGTATGTATCCCTATCACCAGCAAGAAGACAGTAAGTTACGTGACCCGAAATAAGAATCGAAATGCACCAGTTTCTCCTACTCCCTTCCCAATCCCCATTACAATCCTACCATCTATGATTCCCAGTTTAAGTGACTGCAAAAGCAATGCCACTGGAGTTGAACCATCTGCAGCAATATTCCCGCACAGCCCACTTGACACCAACTGCTCTTTATAAGGCCACACTGACCTATTTCACTGGCGCATTCAACAATCACACACGAAAAATAATAAACTGGACTCGCACGCACGTTGGAGACAGGGTGTCCGAAACAAAAATCAAACTAAAAAAATATAAATAAAATAGTGTCCCCTGTATGCCGAAACGGCGCTTCGCTGCCGCGCGACCACCAACAGTCGCGCATGGGTTGAGTATACCGTAAGGACACCCACCTTTAGGCTTCCTCGAATCGGTGACCAGGCGAGCAGACCACTCGGCCACTGGCCGACCCTTACGGGTTTCTTGTATTAATTGCACCAGAAGTAGAGGTGTTTCGGTGATGCATCTCCCAACACTCCGCCCGCATTGTTCTCTCCTTAATGGTTTCACGTATCAGGAGACGCTGATGCGGCTACCACTGGTCAAGCTGGAGTGGGTATTGTTTACAAATTCAAGGCTGAGTCATCGCTTGTTGGTTGGATTTCCGTGAACATCCGTTTGTGTGCAGTCCGTTTGACGACATAAACTAAAGTTGATTCAAGAAGCACCAATTGACGCTGTTTCCGTCGTTTCCGCCTATGCCCCCACCGATTGCAGTTCTGATGCGAAAAAGGACGACTACTATCACGGACTGAACACGCTACAATGCAGTGTTACCAGTTCAGATTACACAGTTCTTACAAGGGATATGGATGCACAAATAAGACATTTGAACGCTTAAGAATATGAGATAGGTGGTACTTATGGGCTGAACTCAGTACAGACTGATAACGGCGAGCGTGCTACAGCTGCGTGTAGAGAATTAAATGCTTCTTAACAGTACCGCTTTTAGACACACTGGGTGCCAAAGTGCCATTTGGTGTCCTAATGTAGGTGACCAGCGATGGACTCAAATAGATCATATTGCCATAAGTTACAGGTGGCGTGGTTCCATCCTGGATTGCCGCTCGTCCTGGAATACTTGCGTCGACTCTGATCATGCCTTGGCACGATGTTGTTTTTCCATGAACTTTACCGGGAGGCGCACCAAGCGTCTCCTTTGTTTTGCAACTGAGAAACTATCTCAGCCATCGGTCTGGCAAGCCAACCAGAATGCACGGCGTATCGAACTTACGCTCTCATGTCTTAATGACGTCAAGTTAAATTGAACAGGACCTAAGCCACCATGCACCAAACATGAGCCTCCGCTTGCGAAACAATCAATCGTCACCGCATCAGTCACCGTATATATCCGAGGTCAGTGAACCTACTAGAATCCAAAACAAAACCCATGGATGGCTCTGAGCACAATGTGGTGAGACGGACTAGTAGGTGCGAACTAAAGTGGAGCCTGTGTTGTCTAGGGAGCATGGTAGACCAGTCGGGCCCAAGAAATGGAGGAGGCAGAAGCAGTAGATGATTATCGCAAGCTCTTATAGCTGATCCGCATCACTGGTCCGAGGAAACGAGGTGTCAGTGAAACAATCAGGGACAGCGCGGGAGCCCGGATTCACAATCGGGAGTGCCGTATGGCTCGTTGGGCGGAGTACATTCGAGAGCAGTTCAGTTGCCCCCTGCTTCTGGACCTCTTCCTACTCAGGTGTTGCAGGCTGAGCCATGGCCAGTTAGTTTAGAGGCCCCGTCGGAAGCTGAGCTCCGAAACGCGATCGTAGTCCTTCGTCGTTTTCTAAATGCTGATCAGGATTCCCTCGCACTCGGGTTAATTAAGGATGGTGGTGAGGTCCTATACAAAGCGCTGACCTCCATGTTCGAATAGGTCTGGAACGAAGAGACCATCCCAGCTAACTGGAGTGAATCAACTGCAGTGACAATATACAAGAACGGCAGTTGCATCGACTGTGCTAACCATAGGGGTATTAGCCTATCGCTAGTTGTGACAAAATTACCGGCTCCAATACTCGTTCGTCACCGCGCTGCAAAATGGATAACCCGGATTAGGGAAGAGCAAGCAGGATTCTCCCTAGGACGGGGCGGCATAGAGTACATATTCACCCTGCGCCAGGTGCTAGAAGAGCGCCAAGCACACAGCAGACCCACAATAGCTGTGTCCCTTGAGTTCAAGCGTGCGTTCGATTAAGTCGATCGATCCATTCTGTTCAAAATACTTGCGCGGAAAGGTGTTCCCATGAAATATGTGAACATTCTGCGTGCTCTATATTCGAACATCACAGGCCGCGTCAGGGTCTACGGTGACTAGACGGACATCATCCAGACTGTGTGTGGCGTTCGTCAGGATTGTCCAATTTCCCTTTTTTCGCGGTCTTAAACTCCATGATGGAGTGTTCCCTTTACGGAAACTTACGATGTAAGTGTTCAAGTGTTGCCTGGAGAAAAGTTAGTTGAGCTTGCTAAGGTGAACGATATCGTCTTGCTTTCTGGAGATATTGGGGCGGCGCAGTCAACCCTGAAAAGCCTCTCTAGAGTGGTCCCAATATTTGGTATGCGCTTCGCATCTTCGAAGTGCAAAGTGTTTCTGCAGGACTAGCAGCCAAATGATGATCCCTTGAGCCTTGTTGGCGAGGAAATGGAGTATCAGTTGATCACTTCACGTAGCTCGGCAGTTGCATCAGCAACGGTGGGCGTATAACGACAGAAGTCAATTCACATATTACAAAAGCTAGAACTGCCTTTTTGCAGCTGTGACATCCTTAGCATCAGAAAGGGGTTTCCCTCCGTCTGTTAGACTGTGCACACAAGGCCACAGTGAAGGCCGTCCTACTCTATGGTAGTGAGACTTGGCCGCTTCGATTTGCGGACGTGAGGTGCTTTCAAGTCTTTGATTATAATGGTCTGTAAAGCACTGCTGGTGCCGGATGGTAAAAGCGCGTCCGCGACGATGACATACGCAGGGGAGTACTAGACAGTGATAATCAAATTATTTCCTTAGAACAACAGATAGCAATGAATAAGTTGTGTTGGCTTGGGCACGTACTACGTATGCTCGGTCGTCGCTCACCGAGGAAATTGTGTCGTTTGCCAGTATTAGGGTGGCGCTAGGTTCGAGGTTGGCAAAAGCTAAGTTGGCAACGGGAAATGAAGCCGCTGACGACGACTCGATGCCGTTGATCCGTCTCGCCTTCGGGGCTGAAGCCCACGTGACGCGCATCGTGCTTGGCATGAGAGATTACAGAACATAGCTCCAAATCGGCACCAGTGGGGTGTCTGCTGTCGTTTCCTAGTTGGACTGACTGTTTAAAGTATGCATGGTGTTGAGTTATCTGTGGGGTAATGGCTGATTATGACGAGGGGCAATGAAAGCCGCAAGGAAGATTTCTCGCCGATAGCGCCTTGTCTTTGCACCATAGGTACCTGTTTGTGACGGTATGTTATTGACAAGGTGTAGGCACTTTGACCCTGATCGGTTGTTTAGGGCATTAAGGTTTTATGCTGATCCCCTTATCTCCCTCTCGTTCTTCGTTCCGTAAGTCAGTGTGGTTATACGGCAGCGAAACATCAGTTCAAATGACTGATGTACTGCTGTTTATGATGAAGCACAAATAGTCGCTTATAAATCAGAAAATTGACAAGGTATTCAAATCAAAGCAAGAACAAGATGTTAGGACTCAACAGGATCACAATTTCAAGCAAAGTAGCAACCGCATAAGCGGAAATTATGACCAGGGAGCGCGTTGCAAAAACATAGTAAAGCTAACAATGAGGCAAACGGAGGAGACAAATTGAAGGCAAAATACGTTCGTAACTAGGTACGCAATTTATAATTATGTATATAAAAAGCAGCGGAAAGGAAAGGAGACAAGGAAAGGACGCAATCATTTTAACTAAAGGTCAAACAAAAGTACAAATCAAATAATAAAGGAACGTGTACAAAACGGGCTATGGTGTGATTGCTAATGCATCTACAACTGAATTCACTGGGAGTTCTGAGCAGGCTGGGTTTGCTGGTGGCAGGAGTAGAAGCAAATTAGAATCTTGGCAACTTGCAAGACGAGAGCTGCTTTGACCCCCGAGATGGTCACACAAGGCACAGGGAATGGAAGGAAGTTGGCTGTGACTAGAGGTATCCGACTCGGAAATCCATGTCAATTGTGCTCTGCGATAGTCGGGTCTATCGCCCAGGATCACCGCGTTGAGCAAGCGCACTCGAATGCAAGGAAAGCACCAATCCTGTTGACGTCTAAGCTCCAATTTGCGTAACAAGGGTAAAACAAACAGATGGGCAGTTACGAAAGCGGACACGGGATTTCCTGGCAAACAAAACACAAGCACAGATCTGGAGGGATTGCTACAAATGGGGACGGAGGCGAACTTAGTGGGTTTGCCAGGTTTCATGAAGATACGGGAAAAGTGCATGGTTGCGCCGAACTTCTCAGTCAGAACGTGAGTCACCAGATCCCGTTCACCCATACTGACGCCGCCAGTAGTTATAAGGATGTCGCAGCAGGAGAAAGCGTGATTTAACAGAGTATACAAGGAATCGATCTGATCCCTCACTATGCCAAAGTCGATTACGTTCGGATAACCATGTTTGCGGAGAAGGGCGTTCAAAGCAGGTCGATTGGAATCCAACACAGAATGAAGTTCGAAGTGGTCAAGAAAGGGTGTGACTTCATCGCCTGTGGACACTAAACCGATACGAGGCTGACTTAGGCAAGGAAGATAGCCACCAGTGCGTAAGCGATCAAGTAGCCCGGAAGGAATAGTGCATTCAGGCTCATTATCGGCCAACAAGGTGGCATAGGACGAGGACGGCCATGGAGCAAGCAAGCCGGCGCCAGCCAACAAACCAATTTCAGCCGGCCCTAAACGCAACCCACGTCGGAACACGTAGTGAGAATCTAAATCACAACCAACAGATCGTATAAATTGACCACGACTGGTCGGGGGTACCAAAACCTCGATCGTGTCCTCCTCCTCCTCCAAAGACCCATTTATGTTTTTCGAAGGGTCGCTGCGTTTGGTGACCAATTGGGTATGCTCCACTGGGACCACTGCATCAGCTCCTTCTGGCAAAGGACCTCCTGTGCTAACTCGCACACAAGTTCCTTCAGTTAAACGTAAATGTTCACGAGGTAAATCACCAGCACATAACGCGCCGAGAACATGTAGCCTTGTGGTTTGATCAACCACGCGGAGCGCGTATCCGTCCATAACGCTAGCCGCAAATGGTGGAATGCATTGGCGAGCTCGCAGTGATAAGCCTAGGACGCGACCTAAGCAGTTTTGATGAAATACAGCTTGGATGCCCAAGGTAGACTGCAATGTACCGGCCATTTGAAATATTTTCATTTGTGCCTCTTCAACCGAGATCATAGGGAAGGGAGAAACACGTAATCTATCCACTGCGACAGGTAAACTCATGCTGACCGGTGATGTTTGGGATGCTGAAGGAGTAACGTGGTTTTTATCCATAGAATGTGTCCATCCCTTGATTAAACTGACAGCGTGTTCCACCACCGGTAGAAGTACTGGGACACATTGTATGATCGCTTTTGGACTACCAGGGAGTGTGATAAGTAAAACCTCGTCAAGCACACCAGCTATAATGCGAGATAGTGCAGCATTTGGAGTATGTTTCAGCGAAGCCGAATAAAGAGCGTGCTCAAGACCAGCCAAACGCGTCTGTGGAGAGAGAATCTTCAAAAACGCATCAGGTGTGACATCACGCCTTGTAATACCGGTCCCACCGGTGGAGATGATTACTTGAACCAAACCGGAGGCGATCCACCTCAGGAGAATCGAGCGAATCAATTCGACATCGTCAGGGACGCAATCTCTCAAAGCAACGCAATAACCACTTTCCTGAAGCAAGTTGACGGCAGTCGGTCCACTGAGGTCCACGGAGCTACCAGATGAACAAGAGTCGCTGATTGTCAACACACCGAAAGCAACCTCAGGTCCTGAAAATAATGTAACGAAAAGACAAAGACAACCATTGGTTGTATAACCACGAGATATGAGTACATGTGTTGGATGGATTACAAGAATGGAGAGTCTAATCTGTTTGTAGCCGTGAAAGCAGTTACATCGGCAAAACGGATAGGTGTCTACGTATGCGCGTCGGAGAACACATTCTGGTTAGTTGAAGCTGCTACGAGAGGTCAAACAGGAAGGTGGGTGTTAAACTCAAAAATACTGAGCTTATCAATTACGAAGCACCTACTAAGCATAGGTCAAAAGTTGACCCAGACCTAGAGTTTACGATTATCTACCGCAATATGAACGTCAAAATACTCAAGCTCGCTGAGGCCGTGGCCATTAATCGCAACGGCCCTGGCCTTTGTGAGCGAAAATAGCTGACTGTCACACTCAAGCTCCCTTGGGGACCGTGGCACTTGTTTGTTTGTGATTCCGCTATGGCCTATGCCGTCATGCGCCTTCTGCTCCAAAATTCAAACTATCGATTCCCTTTCCTCAGCGATCGTATAGTATGTTACTTGTTTACATGTGATCAGAGAGCACGAAATGATTTCGTCTTGCAACATCCGTCTTTTCATTGTATTGTCCAGAATGGAATGTAGAAGTGGAAAACGAGATGGAGCGGGTACCAGGCTCTGTCTTGGGAAGCCAAAAAAGAAGGCAAAACCAGCCATGGCGCAGCTCGATGGAGACGAATAGGGACAACGGTATAGAAAAATCCTCTTGCAATGTGGTGCACTACTAAGTAGTATGTATAAAAACGGGCAAGTGTGTGGAAATAAGAGAAAGCATGGATTGCTGCGGGCGAAGGAAGCGTAGTGCACAAAAGCAATCAGCACCGGATACGTTTTGTACGAAGGTGTGCAGTGAAACGGAGTCAGAATGGTATCATGAAAGAAAGGTATCAGCAGTATGCCAGTAGGAAGTACCGACGCTTCGCTGCCGCGCACCACCACCGGTCGCAAGCGGACTAAGGATACTGCGAGGGTCGCGCTGCACCTACGCAGGCTCGAACCCGCGCCGTCAGAGTAGAAGGAAAGCTCGTTACTTCTAGGCTACAGGCCGGCTGAAGGAAGAAGTGCGCAAATGGACCATAGTTTTTATGTTCGAATACGCCCCAAGTTAAAACCATCAAGAGCGAGCCTACTTACAACTGAGAAAGCAGTAGGCATACGGCTAACAAACCACGACCAGTGTATTTAGAAGAAAAGGGTACAATCACTGCAACTTTCGTGGCCGACCATCCGACAGAAAGGAAGTGACCGCACTTCGTAAACCCAGCTGACCTCAATCGCGTGATCAGAGGATGGACATCATTGTCACAGATCGAATTATATAATCAAATGATTCTTTGTTATGCGATGACAATCGACCGTACACTACAGTATATTAATGTGTAAGCCTGAGAAAGATTTAATCGAAAACAGTTGGTTGCTTAAAGCCTCGTGTTTTTTGTTTTTCTCTCCGACAATGTGATATCTGGACGTGGGTTCTCGGATACACAAACTGTCTGCACCGCGTTACGTTCTCTACAGCAGCACGCCAGATAACTAAGCACCGTGATTTCGCTGTCATTCAATCGCAAATGGTTGCCTGCGAGTCGGAATACCGTAGTGATGCCCAAACCTATGTAGCAACGACAACAGCAACGATGCGCTTATAAAGCTGGACGAGGTTCGAAACGTACAAGGGAGCGAACTAGTAGAGCAAAGTGCTTAACGAAGAAGCTGGAGTAGAACAAATGCACGAACACAAAGAGAAGCGGTGGTGTCCAATCCAATCGACATTTAGAGTATATCGTTCACCAAACAATGGATTTGGATAAGCTGCAGAGAGAAATTCGAGAGAAATAGGTCGAGAAAAATTGAAATCGCCAGAAAGCAAAGTAAGGAGCCAATGACCCTACGAATGTGCCATATCCGAGAGGGCCTATGGTCGGTTTCGAGGGCCCCTTTCAGAAATACAACGTGCATTGAAGCATAACGGTGTCAGGACGTCAGTGATATACTCATCACGTGGGGAAACAGGTACCCAGCAGACGGTTCCAATGACAGCCATATCACTTCGCTTGAAAGTATTGCAATGACCAATTCCATTCCACTTGCAACTTCTCTGTCTTTCAAACTCACGAAAACTTATCTAGGAACTGCATTGGAAAGCATGAACAAATATCTATCCCTTGCGACCTATTGATCAGAGCAGGTAGTTGGACTGCATCTCGCACCGTCAAGAAATATACCACATAGTGTGAGCGGGTCACAGGCGGCTTAGTAAAGAGGAATAGTGAGGTGAGAATTTTGAAGCAGTGATGAACAGTGACCAAAATTGACTGCGACCTCAAATTCGCTGAAAAAAATTGAACGGGGGTGATTGGGGTCGGCATGGCAACCATTTAGGCAAATCAACGGAACTGGGAAGCTGGGTAAGACAACACATACAAATCTAGGTAGAATGTGTCACGATTCGGTGATTGGTTGAACAATGGAAGTAGAGACAAATGGAAGGATGAAATGTACGGGCAGCTCCGACCGCATGTCGCAAAAATCGGGCCGTTCTAAGAAGTACAAAAGGCCAGATCAAAACAGTATAGCACCGTTGAAATGCACACAGGTCGTTCGCATAGTTGGGACGTTTTAACCCTATGAAAGCAAAGATGCCTGAAAGCTGGCTAACAGACCTCAACGTGTCAATAGCTACTCAGCAAACGGTGCTGTTCAGCTTGTCGGTATGCTAGAAATCGCTAATGTCGATGCATGCGGACGCTTAAAACGATAAGGTTAATCTGGAGAGTATAGGATAGTATAAAGATTAACAGGTTGAAAAGCGTGAGAACTCACTGAAGCCTATTACTCATGGCAGAACTCAACCAATAAAGACCTGGAGATAGAGCCGGTATGGGAAGTGTCGCGGATTAAACCAGCAGTCTGCTTCAGATCAACTAGACAAAGATCCAGCACAAACAGTCAGTGAGAAACATGAGAGTCAAATCTTGTCTCGGACGGAGAATAAGGGCAAGTCAAGCGCATTAGTAAATCTCTCTCTCCTAGAAGTTGCACTGAGAATGTTACATAATCCGGTGATAAAATGTTTGTGGCCAAAATGCTTGGGGTTCGGGGAACAAATGTATCATCCTCACTCTGAGCTACAACAATTAGAGGCTAACACCCGACACGTAACTCCTACCAGTAATAATTTTGAGGTGATTTTAAAGAGGAAGACCGAACGTGGGCATCAATGACCGATGAATGACGCAAAAGAATTCTCAACGTGATGTTCATACAACATCCAACCACTACATTTTGCTAGTTGGGATTGAGAACGACATCAACCAAAGCGGTAGGAGCAAAGTGAAATCCCGAGGAATCGTGGACTACACAACAATGAAAACGGAAAAAATGCATGATTCATCAATCGATAGTTGTCTTAAAATTCACGATCAGAGCAGTAAACATACAAGAAGCTGTGCATCAAACACGCTACGAGGAATGAGAAAAAGGACAAGATGTGATCCCGATAGGGTTTGAAATCAGGTCGCATAACTGTTACGGATTAGTAAAAAGTTAGAAATACTCCGTGGTTGTAACTGCAGATCCGTTGTATTAAAGTTGGTGCACAAAAGGGCAGAATGGGAAAGCCATAAACTGGAGTGATCATGGTGTATTAAAACAAAAGTGAGAGAGGATGAGCTCACTTTTACTTTCGTGCATTGACGGTGGCTGCATTCTTTCCGGGAAGAAACCGATTCAAACAAGCCTAGATTCAAAACAGAAATAGCAGACAGATAATAAATGGCGAATATCATGCCGGATTAGGGACAGTAAAGATAGATAAGTGCGATCGGCCTTTTAGAGCAGAGACACATACAGACGACTGACTATGGTGGTTTTGCTTGACTTAAAAGCCACCTTCGACTTTGCCGATCGCGCCAACTTGTGGCACTGCCTATCCATGAAGGGCGTACCAGCTAAACTCCTTTTCATTCTAAAGTCCCTCTACTGTAAATTTCTGAGGTCGTGTTAAGGCCTAGGGAAAATCTCTCCTGAGTTCCCCACGACAAGTGGGGTTCGCCAGGATTGTCCTATATCTCCTTCACTCTGCAACTTTGTTATCGAAATGGGCACAAATGACTGGGTTTTTCAGACTATTCTGGAATGAAAGTTCTGCCAGGCGACCGACTGACAAACCTGAAGTATGCGGACGACATAGTTCTCCTTGAGTCTGATGCGTTGGCTATGCAAACACTACTGCACAGACTTGTGCGTAGTGCTGCATGCTCTGGCAGGTACTTCGCACCTTCAAAGTGCTGTTGCGGTTCACCTACCTTGGTAGCTGTGTCACCTCCGGCGGTCCCATCACTGAAGAGCTTACTTCGGGTATCAACAACGACCGCGTGACTTTCCAGAGGCTCAACCATCTATGGAGACAACGGGATATCAGATTGCCAGTGAAAGGTATGGTGTATAACGCTGCGATAAGGCCAGTGTTACTGTATGGATCAGAGACATGGCCAGTTCGTAATGAAGACATTAAACACTTGGCCGTGTTTGACCACCAGTGCTTGCGAAGTATTGCTCACGTTTGGTGGGAACATCGAGAGAGCAATGCTAAGGTTCGCCAGTTGGTGGTTGAAGTTTCAATTCTGCACAAACATTACATGTTGAAGTCATGCGCTTGACGGAATAGGGTGAGTTTCGAGAACGAACAAAATGAACTATCCTAGTTACTTCGGGGTGGCATAGTGTATCATGCATGTCCCTCAGTTTCGGATCGTTAAAGTTAGAGGCACAAGTAGAGCGAGAGAGTGCATCAGCCATTTGATTATATTTCCAGGATCTGTGTAGTACATCACAGTGATAAGCAGACGATCTAAGTCGCCATCTCTGGATTTGGGCAGTTTTTATCTTACTGGAATGTTTAATATCATAGACGAAAGCTACGGATCGTTGATCGTTAATAAGTTTGTAGTGCGTTCTGAGGAGGTGGCGCCACTTTGGAACAGCTTCCACAATTGCACATGCTTCCTTTTTGACGACTGAATGATATTTCTTACAGGAAGAGTGTGCGAGAAATAGGTGTGATATTAGTCCTATTCACATATGTGCCATTGCCAGTATACTTAGCCAATCTGTTACACTTTTAGCTCTCATCTATATTCACAGACGAATAAAGCCTGAGTTCCCAAATCTTGATTCCTCACTCTCTGATCTGTCTTTGAGTGCTCAATCATACCACAGTTTATTCGTCTGCGAATCAATTTCCATGGAATGTTTTCTCAAACCGGAACGCCTTGACGCTGATCCCAACGCTCCAGATGTACAGAAGCCGTGGATTCACTAGTCCTATACCATTTGTAACTTCTTGGAGTCTATTGAAACTCGCAACCCCGATAAATGGAAAATTTTGGTAAACTCCATAGCCCCAAAAGTCTTCGGGTATATTGCTGAGCACCAAATTCAGCGAGGCTATACAAGCACTGGAGAGCGTATATATCAAGCTGAAAAATAAGATTCTCGCGCGCCACATTGTAGCTATGTGCAAACAATAAATCGGATCTGACTTGGACCAATTCATTCAGAGGTTCAAAGTCCTTGCCAAGGACTACAACCAAGGCAGTCAGCGAGGAGCAAAATCGTGATGGCGCCATTCGTGACGCCTTCATCACGGGGCTACTTTCTCATCCTAAAGGACAACGATAAGTGGAACACGTTGCGTTAAATTTGCAAACTGCATTCGACTTAGCGAGGTCACTGGAAGTGGCACACCAACATTCACAGTCTTACCAAAATGCCGTAATTTCCCCAGCGTAGGCACCAGTGTCCAACAGATCCGAGTCACCTCCGAAAACTGCCAAACCATCTTCAACATCCTGATACGTTTCCACTGTGGCCAATGAAAGGTGTTACTTTTGCGGTTTTATTCGACAACCACAGGCCAGATGTCCGGCTCGGGAAGCAGTTTGTACAGGTTGTGGGAAGAAGCGATACTTCAGGAAAGTTTTCCCCTTTAACTCATCCAAAGAATACTTTTCAGGTAACTTCATTAATTTCGCGCTCGACGATTGCAGCTGCTCCTGATTGATCAACGCGGGCTGTCAGTAAGAAAGATTAATGGTTCGGATCTAGAAGCGCTGATTGATATTTGCAGCTCTGAGAACTACGACTCTATTGATGTTGCTCAGAAAGCGAACTGGAAGATTAATCCGCCTCGCACGCACATACCCATGGCTTCAACATAACTGCAGTTGATTACCAACGGGCATTGCAACATGACAGATGCGTATAATGGAGAGGTCTACAACGTCAGACTTTCTATGTTACATAAGCTGTGTTCAGATGTGCTTCTCGGACACGGTTTCCTTCAATTACATGAGAAACTGGAGATTTCGATAGATGGAAAAAACCACCTTTGTGTGTTTGCAGTCTCACTGGCGCATAGGTTGAAGCCCCGTCACTCTTCCCTAATCTCGCACCGGAGTGCAAGCTAATAGCGACAAAGTTCAGACGATACAGTCTCGAGTGCGAGGCTTTCATTCGCTCCGAAATAAGCCATCGCCTACTGGAAAACATAATCGAGCCATCCTTTTTGCCATGGAGAGCTCAAGTGCAGGTAACTACTAACGAAAGGCACAAACGACTTATGGCCGTAGATTACAGTCAAACGATAAACCGATTTACACACTTTGATGCATACCATCTTCCTAGATTGGACGAAATGGTTCAGAAGATTGCTACTTTTGAAACATTCAGTACCTTAGACTTAAAGAGTGCTTACCATCAAGTTCCCATCAGACATGAAGAAGGTCTGTACACGGCTTCTGAGACCTGTAGCAAGCTTTACCAATCTTATCGAATACCTTTCGGAGTAACCAATGCCGTCTCAAAGAACCATAGGCGAAATAATCTCCAAAGGTTACGGTCTGTGGAAAAGACTCCATCGAACATCGACAAAATTTAGATCGCTTTCTGAACGTCGCTCCAACGTACCGCATCACTTTCAAAGAAACAAAAGGGTGTTCGGAGCCAAACAGGTTAGATTACTAAGGTATGAAATTTCGAAAAGAATAATTAAGCCCGATCACGAGCGACTGAGTCCTTTGCAAGAATTGCCTTCTCCCACCGACATCAAGGCTCAACGGAGAATGACAGGGATGTTCGCTTACTACTCCCAATGGATATCATACTTCTCTGAGAAAAATGTCCCACTCGTTCATAACAAACAATTTTCCATACCACTATCCGTCCAAAAGTCCTTCGAGAAGTTGAGGGAGGAGTGCAGTACTTACCACTGCCGATCCTCATGTACCGTTAGTAGATGAAACGGATGCTTCTGACCTAGCTATCTCAGCTACCTAAAACCAAAACGGAAGGCCGATATCTTTCTTCTCACGCACGCGCCGTTCCTCGGTGAAAAAAGAAGCCTACGCGATCGTTGAGGCAGTGCGAAAATGGCGACATCTACTACTTAGCAATCATTTCAAGCTAGTTACAGATCTATGTGCTGTGGCTTTCATGTACAACAGTATGAACCAAAATAAAATTAAAAACAAGATACTATGCTGGAGACCTAAACTAGCGCCATTTCACCACGATGCTATATACCGACCCGGTAAGTGCAACCATGGAGCCGACACACACTCGCGTAGCTGCTGCAGCAGCTCATCTGGTAGTCCGAACCTAAAACAACTCCATGATACTTTGCGTCACCCGGGCGTAACCCACATGATTCATTTCGTACGCGCCAAAAAACCTACCATTTTCGGTGGCTGAAATCAAATCTATAATTCTGTGTTGTGCTGCTTGTTGAGTTGAAACCGAGGTTTCTTCAACTCCCTTTGGAACAGCTGGCTGAAGCAACTCGGCCTTACGAACGCCTCAATGTTGCTTTGAAAAACCCCCTTCCAAAGAAATCGCTATCTGTTAACTATTGGGAGGAGTTTTCACGTTTTCCATTCGCTTTTGCATGTTCCAATTTGACATCTTCCACTGTGATAAGCTGCCTCTGTCAGCTCTTTTCGATGTTTAGTATGCTAGTCAACATTCATTCAAACAGAGGTTCCTCTTTTATGTCCCGTGAACTGTGCGACTTTCTTCATAACAAACAAACAGTAGCAAGTCGAATAACCGCATATCATCCACAAACTAATGGGTAAGTCGAACACCTGAATGGAACATTGTGGAGAGCCATTTCTATCACCCTACGCTCCCGTAATTACCCAGTTGATCAATGGGAGATCATCCTACTCGATGAACTGCATTCGATTGGATCGCTTCTGTGCACTGCAACAAATGTGACCCCACATGAGAGGCTGTTCAGACATAATCGGATATTTTCATCTGGCTTTTCTATTTCTACGTGGCTGTATCGGGTCTGGTCCACAAAGTTCAATCCTCTTGTAGTACATGTGGAACTCATCGAGTGTAACGCTCAATACGCACACGCTCGATTTTCGAATGAGAGTGAGGAGACCGTATCCATCCGACAAATGGCACCCCTGGGCGATCGAGTACGGTAATAAAATTAACGTCGATCCAGAAAAAATAATCATACCCGGAGAAAGAGGACCAGGTCCGCGTACGTGACGAAGCCGACATGCATCCGGATCATTCTCCACCAAATTTTACGGAGTCATTTTCCCCGAGGAGCGAAGTAGAGGCACTTCAACAGCACGTGCATTCATAGCACCTTAGAAACAGAGAGGCTTAAACACTAACTCTTTTCTCGCGGGAAACCTTGTTACCCACAAGTCACAAATCTCTAATGACGTTGCTTCCATACAACGCTTCCGACAGAGCAACCTTTATTTAATACATGATTCCTTCCAAAAAACATAAGTGCCACTACCACTCCTATCCGGTACACTTTTAGCTCTCATCGCTATTTACAGGCGAATAAAACCTGATTTCCCAGGTCTTGGTTCCATACACTCTGGTCTGTCTCTGACCGCTCAATTATAAAACAAAAGGCCACTGGTCGGTTGTTCTGAATCAGTGAAGCACCGACGACTATGTCGGATGCATGCGTTTCAACAACAAAAGGAATACTACAATCGACCGTCACAACCATTGCATTTTCTAAGGTCGGTATGAGCTGCTCGAATGCATTTCCTACATGTGGAGGAAGAAACACTCGGTTGTTAACCAGGGGAGTAATTTTGTCTGGGAACGATGGAATCCACTGTGAGTAGTAAGCGAATATCCCGACAACTCGCTTTTGGGACTTCAGGCTAGGGGGTAGCGGAAGTTGGCGTAGAGGCTTCATCCGTTCGGGATCGGGTCTTATTTCACCCTTAGATATGTGGTAACCGAGAAGATGGATTACCTCGGAGGCAGTAACGGTTGTAGTGTCGTCCCAGGTGATACCGTAGTTAGCAGCTGCTTTGAAAAAACTGTTCGAGGTTGTAATCGTGGTTCGCTCTCGTGACCCCACAAATTGTCACGTTGTTAATGGAGGCAAAAGTGTCGTTGAGGCTTTCCGCTTTCAGTATATCGTCGATCGTGCGCTGAAAACAAGCCACACCATTGGTAAGTCCAGAAAGAATACGACGGAACTGAAAAAGATTTCCACGCGCTTCAAAAGCAGTGTAAGGCTTTTCACGTTCGGCGATAGGGAGCTTTCAGGTCTCTCACTCTCTCTCTCTCTCTCTCTCTCTCTCTCTATATATATATATATATATATATATATATATATACATATATACATATATATATATATATATATGGTATAACGAGAAATGGTCTCCACCGCTTTGTCGATTCGCGGTAGTGGATAGGCATCGAGAAGGATGAAACCTTGACCGTTTGGCTGTAATCGACAACCATCCTTTTCTTATGATTCGCATTTTCAGTAACAAGTACTTGTGCCCTCTAAAGCAAGCTTGACGGTTCAATGATGACGTCTTTCAAAAGGCGTACTTCGGCTTTTATAAAGCGCTCGTCGTCAAGTGAGTAACGTCGGGATTTGGTAACAAAGCCTCGGCAATCTGAGGAAAAGTGAGCAAACAGAGGAGGCGATTCTATTTTGGCTGCGGTGAGTCAACACAACGAAAAAGTATCACGCCCACCACCAAACGATATTCCCACTCGGTAATGCAATCCAAGGAAGTCGTAACCGAGCAGAACATCGGCGCATAGACTACTCATGACAGAGAGCAGAACGTTAGACGTCTTAATAGCGGATTTGTACATTGCAATACCCGGCAATTGCACATGACAGTGAGATAGAGGCCATAGTGATTTTGGAGTTACAGGGAATGACGTTCCAGTGGTAGGAGTTGACTCCAGAATGAGAAAAATAGCTGTCAGAGTTGCCGGTAGCTAATAGGGCATGTAAATCGATGTTGTTAACAAGGAGCTTGGTTGTTGTGAGGGACAAACAGTTGGGAGCAGCAGCCGTTAGAACAGAAGACAGGAAGAGACAGAGCGCTGAAGTGACTGGGGTATAAACTGGCTTTGATTCACGCATACACACATGCATTGCAAATGGCTTCTCTGGCCAGGCACTTTCACGAGGTTGTTTGGGATGACCACAGAAATAGCAAGTTTCTCTAGGTATGACTCATAAAACGGGTTCGGGTTCAGATGAGTGAGTGGATGAAGAATGTGTACGCAGTGAAAGGTGAACAGAATGAGCTGAAGAACAGGAAATTATCTCAATTTCACAGGACCTTGATTGTTGAGGAACAATCTCAAGAGACCTTGCGATATCATAAGCAATTTGAAAATTTAAGATGGTCTGTTCCAGGAGTCGCGTTCGAGTGTTGTTTGACTGTAATCCAGTTGTACGTGCATCGCGCAAAGCATCATGACGATGCTGTTCAGCTGACAGAACGAAAATCACAGTTTGCCGACTGCTTAATGTTTTGCACGAACTGGTCGATGCTAGCACGTGGATAGGTATCGAGTAAAAACAACATCCTTGGAGTGCACGCATAGAGTGAAGTGTAACGGCGCTAAGGAATATTTTGAATTCAGAAACATGGGTGTATGACAGCGAAGCATCAGTTCAAATGACTGATGTACTGCTGTTGTCGTTGATGATGACAGACCATAGACCGGATTGAAAAGAACGTTGACGAGCATGTCCAGATTGTCCAAGTCATCAGATTGAATTCGTTTTAGAAAGGTATTGAATATTCGAAACCAATAAGTCCATTGCTTAGAAGTATCAAATGCATATAGATCGATATCGAATTTGTCTGGAGGAAGATGGCAATCCATGAAAATGTTAGACCAGTAAATTATGCGTCGAACGAAAATAGCATAACAAATGGAACAACTCGGAGACGGAGGAATACGCTTACCTGGTCTAACAACGGAAGTATAAGAGCTGAAAGGTAAGAGCAGGTTATGATGCGTTAGGTAAAAAGCAGACGAGCGAATGAAAAAGCGCTGCTAGGACAGAAAAAGGACATTATCAGACACTTTGTCGTTTCTCATTCAAAAATACTGCTTCGGTGCCCCATGATTGCTTGCTCTCTATTATGGTCGCAGCGGAGCCAAAAAGTCTAATGCCGTCAACAATCTACTCACCAACAAGGTCTCTAAAATCTTTGGCTGATACCAGAAGCACTGAGGGCTAAATTGTCGTGGCAGTCAACAAACGGTTCAACTGGAATATCCACGGTTCTCATGACAAGATTTTGATGGCTAGTACTTGCTTAACAAATTTCATTAGTGTCAGTGTGCAGCACAAAGACAACCATTACACGGGCGTTAAACTGTCCGTGCTCAGAAAAACGTTTGTTCAAATGTATCCTTGGGATACGACTTTCTTAGGTGTCACCAATTTGTCCAACTCCCATTCTTTGGTGAAAACCCCCTCTTTGTATACCTAGTGGCCGTCGATGTGGAGTCTACCTCCCTGTTCGGAAACGATACTCCCGCCTGTAGCGACATGACCGCATCAACTGAGATTAAATGTTTAAGCCAACTGCTTACAGTCTACGGAATGCCACTTTATATTCATTCTGATCATGGTTCTTCGTTCATCTATCGTGATGTGTCATTTCTTAACTAATAAGGGTAGTGGGGTCAACCGGACAACACCGTATAACCCTCAGGGTAATGGGCAGGTGGAACGCACCAATGGGGTCATCAAGAACTCCTTTAGCTTTTCACTTAGATCCGAAGGCCTTGAAATTACTCAGTGGGAAGGTGCACTGCTGAGCACCTTGCATTCTATTCGCTCCCTTCTCTGCACCATCACAAACGTCACTTCGCACGATTCTGCTCCTATAACAGTAAATCAACAGCAGAAACCTCGCTATCATGTTGGCTGAGTGTGCCATGCCACGTATTGCTACGTCGTAATGTGAGAACCTCGAAATACGTGCCTGAGCAGATGCGATTGGACTATTGGATTGTAATCACCAGTATGCTTACATTCGATTCCCAGATGGAAAATAAGATGTTGTGTCACGGCGCAAAGTGGTACCACCAAGACTTGGGCTGTCTAGTGACCCTTCTGTTCTCACTCTCATAGATCTCACAAGTCTATCGCGCACACATAACAAACACTCAGGTGCTTCAAACCGAACCCCTTCGTCCACCTAATTCTTCACGCCTTTTTGAGCAACAGCAAAGAACATGAACATACAATCTGCGTAATCGGGACGCTCAAAACCTTCAACGTATTCCCTCGTTCTCTATTATGGTGTAGTGTGCCGATTTTTATTATATATTGTAAGAAGAAACGCAAGCGGTACGCTTAAAGCGAACAATTGTTTTCGATTTATTCATAATCAGGCTTGGTACAGAAATATACGTTAAGAGGAGTTCATACGGGAAAACAGAGAGTAACTATTGATTGAGTAAAAATTTGCAAATGCTTAACGTAACATGTCACGTGGTCAAGTGACTGAAGGCATGTGATACCACTGAGTGAGGTTCGATCCATCTTTATTATTGGCTGGCCAGGGTAATTGTAATGCTTGTACATGCTGCTTCTGAATTCATAGATTTGGTTTCGTCAACCTGATGCATACTGCTTCATCGCTTCTCTATTAGGTCGGGAAGAATGATATGTAAACCACTCACTTAGTACTCGTTTACTATAACCTTTCTGGCTTTCATTTCAGCCTATATGCCTCGTTTGCTGAATAAAGTCTAATCTCTCGGGCTCATATTCGTCTCACTCGTCGTATTCCTCATTCAATACCATTACACCATCAAACCTGAAGAACGATGGTACACTGCATTTGAGGTCTGCAGCAATTCTGTAGCATACCTGTCGGAGTGACCAATGGCGTCACCTAGTTCCAAAGAACCAGTGATGAAATAATATTTAAGGCAAAGTTGACCGATACATTTGCCTACAAAGACAACGTCGCGGTATAGGGGAAATACCCTATTGAACACAGGATTTAGATCGCTTTCTGAAAATCGCTTCAAACCGTAGCATCACTTTAAATGACGCAAAAAATGTGTTCGGAATCAGACAGGTTTAGCTTCTGGATATGAAATCCCGAAAGGAATAATTAAACCTGACGCCAAGCGATTGAGGACCTTACAAGAATTGTCCCTCCCATTGACATCAAGGCTCAACGATGACAGAGGTTTGCTTACTAATCTCAATGTATATCGCGCTTCTCTGATAAGATTAGTCAACTAGTTCACAACACGAAGTTGCCCATGCCATTATCTCTCTAGGTCATTTGAGGATCTAAACGAAGAACTGGAGAGTGCCGTATTTACCAGTGTTGACCCTCAGGTACCTTCAGCGATTGAAACAGAAGTTGCTGCTGTTGCTACCTTGGTTATCTTACGCCAAGACGAAAGACCAATGGCCTTCTTCTTCGCATCCCACCTTCCAATGAGAAGTGCCATTCCTCAGCAGGAAACGAAGCCTACGCGATCGTTGATATAGTGCGAAAATAGCGGTACCCACTGCTTGGTAATCAACTGAAGCTGGCCACTGAACAGTGTTCTGCTGCTTTCATGTACAATACCAAGAACCAAAGGGTAAGTAAAAACGAGAAAATACAGTCTGAATTTGTGCCCTTTCATTACGATGCCATATACCAGACCCCGTAAATGAAATCACGGAGCCGACAGATTCACATGTAACTGTTGCAGCAGCTCGTCTGGCAGTCCGAACCCAAAACGACTCCATGCTACGGTGTCACCCGGGCACAAGTCGCATGAATTAATCCGTGCGCGGAAAAAAGCTGCCGTATTTAGTAGGTGAAATCAAATCAACGAATTTGAACAGTGACTTTGAGGGTATACGAGTGTTCTCCGAGCTGGCTAATTTGGCTGCAAACGTTTCATCGTCACGCTAGACGACATCATCAGTGCGATTTATGCGGGCCACTTACAGATCCAAGTGATTATTGATCATTCACTGATTGGAACGTCAGGATTCGGTCGGTTCATGTAAGCTGACCGTGTAGTCACCTCTTGCGTACTGTTGGCTAGAGTCCACCTCAATGACGTTCCTTTGTGCTGTTGATCTGGGGCGGAGTATTGACTTGACCCTCAGTGCTTCATAGGCAGTATCTAGAGCTAAGTGTCTGTTGATTGAGTACTTCCCCGGGTACCAAGCCTCGATGAATTGGCGTGCTCTTCGACATTTTCGCCCAGTCTATGATCCTGACATTCTCTAAATCAAACTGATGATTCTCGGCGTCCATATGTACCGATATCAGGGAGTTTCGGTCATATCGGCGGATGACTAGGCTATGCTCATGTAGCGTAGTGCAGAGCTGCCTTCCTGTCTGGCCAACATACAACATACATGTTACAATTTTTGCAGTGACGTCGTAAGTTGAAATCAAGGTTTCTCCAACCCAATTGGGACAGCTAGTAAAGAAACAGCCGCTTGAATGCCAGGAAATCTCGAAATCACCATCTATTAGTAGTCGTAGATGTTTCCCGGTTTTCCATTCGCTTTCGGACACACGATTCGACCTCTTCCACTGTGACAAGCCGCTTCTGTCAACTCTTTTTGATGTTTGGGATCCAACCAAAGGTGTTCAGTGTCCTTCGGACCTCAGTCTGAAAAGCGCGAGATACCAGCCAATGCCAAATTCGAAGTAAAGGATTGCATGCCTCTTGACCAAATCATCGCTCGCCCCCTCCTCCTCTTCCATGCACAGCCCGGTCGCGCAAACAACGCATGTCGAAGCAGTCGGTGCGCTGGTTTGCGCAACACGTGGCCCAGCAATCGGAGCATAGTGCAAAATATAATGGTGCTGAGTGGTTCATTCGCTCTTCCCACACTAAATATACGACGTCGAATATGCACATTGCTCACGCGGTGTTCCCACCGGACATGGGTTAAACTGAAAAGGCAGTGATGGTCGAACGTAACTAGCCTCCTTACATCTGTTGATTTGATGGGCCAGGTTTCGCAGCCGTATAGGAGGGTTGTACGGACGGCTGCATTGTAAAAGTTGTGCTTCAGTGTGAAAGTGATGTCGCGCCGGCGCCTCAGGTGGCGCAGATTGGCAGAAACGCCTTGGGCATTCGCTATACGACGGTTGATCTCATCTTCAATGCAGCGCGCGCTAATATAGCTGTCTACTTGAGCTTCTGGACGACTTCTAGCTTGTCACTAACAAGGGTCAGCGCAGGGGTGGGTCCCTGCCAATCTAGGAGAACTTTGCATCTCGAGGGTGGGAAGCATAGCCTAAAACGATTGACAGCCAGAGCTAACTTATCCAGTGCTGTTTGGCACGTTTAGGAGCTATCACAGAAAGGGTAATATCGTCAGCGTACACAAGTCTAGAAGTCGGTCGCCTAAAAGCAGCACCACACCTTGCAAGTAGTGTCCAGTGGACGCATTCTCCACGACTTCGTCGATGAAGTAGTTAAAAAGGAAAGATGCAGCGAGTATGTTTTCCATCTAGCTGGAGATCTTGAAGGACGGAGACAGCTTGCCGTAAGCAGTCACACTACCCGAACTATGCGCGTACAGTGCCATCGGACACATTTCCTGAGGAGATAGTCCCAAAGGGCACATCGATCAACCGAATCGAAGGCACCTTTGATGTCCAGGAAGAGGACTAAAGTGGGTCGCAAAAATGATGGCGGTGTTCCAACACTTGATCTAATGTGAAGATGCGATCAATACAGCCGCGAGTTGGACGGCATTCGGCTTGCAGCCCGCGAACTTGGCTTTCACGGATGCCAGTCAGTCTATGGAAGACGACAGAGCCAAATAACTTAGAGGCAATTGAGATCAGACTGATTCCTCTATGACTGCTGCATTCTGAACGGTAGCATCTTTCGAAAAGTGGGACTATAACGCAGCACCTTCAGTGGGTAGACAGTCGCCTTTTCCCACAGCCTCATTAGTAGGCTCTGAAAATCACAGAAGCAGATCCACC